ACCCAAGCCCAAAACCCTACACCCTAAACCCTAAACCCTAAACCCTAAACCCTAAACCCTAAACCCTAAGGTTGATGCAGCTCCTCCCTGAGATGGGAGCACTTGTAGCCCAATGGCTCGGTCTTGAAATGGGGAGCGGCGTCTGGTGTGCGCGTTCCTGTAAGGGGGGTTTAGGGTTTAGGTGGGTTCCTTGCGGAACTCCATAAACAAATCTGTGTTTTGAAGAGCGAACGACACCGAAAAGTAGGGGTCGTCCCACCCTTGTTTTATGAGTTCTTAGTTTGGTAATGGAAGCTTAGACCCGTTTAGGGTACATGTCGTCGTTGACGTAAGGGCTTCGGGCATGTAGCTTCGGGTTTAGAGGTAACGGTTTAGGGTTTAGGGTTTAGGGTTTAGGGTTTAGGGTTTAGGGTTTAGGGTTTAGGGTTTAGGGTTTAGGGTTTAACGTTCAGGATTTAGGGGTCATTGATCTCGACTGAGGGCTTAGGAGTGTCAATGTTCAAGTCTTTGGATTTAGGGTCTCGGGTTCAGGATTCACGGTTCACGACGTGAGGCGCTAGGATATGGCGTGTTTTCGGGTTAACGAGGCCCTTGTTTACAAGGACCTCATTGGGGCGTCGAGCCTAGGTTGTAGTGTTTAGATTCTGCTGAGGAGGAAACACATTCAGGTGCCGGAACAACTATGGATGGACTTCCCTTCAGGGTTCTTTGATCTTACTGTCGTCTAGCAATCCCAAAACTCTACTTTACTTGTGTTGTTCAGGCTTCTATACTACGTGATGAAAGATCAAGGCTTAGCACTCTAATTCGAACTGGTTCAGTAGTTTCTCTGACCGAGGGGATGGAGGAACATGGCAGGTAAGTTTTGGTTTGCCGTGATATGTACCTTGTTCACCCTACTCAATCTGGGCTGTCCTAACATAACCAGGGTTCTTCTATGTAATCTACCGGCGGCAAGGATTTCAATTAAGCCTTAAACCGCTGCTCCCTAAATGGACACCAGTGACACCAGCGATGATCATCGACAGTGGCTAACATATAAGACTGCAAAATCAATACTACTATCATCCTTACGGTTCCGTGTTTGAAAGATACTGTTTTACTCTAACAAACCAAACTCCCGTTATTCGAACTGTGAGGGTCCCGTTTATGACTTCGATGCTCGAAGCTGCAAGCTTTCTGTTGACATCAGGGTTTCACCCTAAGCCCTAAACCCTTTTCAGGGCTTAGGGTTTAGGGCTTGGCTTTAGGGTACCCTAAACCCTAAACCCTGACCCCTAAACCCTAAACCCGAAACACTAAACCCCAAACCCGAAACCCCAAACCCCAAACCCTAAACCCAAAGCCCTAAACCCAAAGCCCTAAACCCAAAGCCCTAAGCCCAAAGCCTGAAACCATAGCCAGGATTTAGGGTTTCCTGGCAGTCCGAGGCTTGCGGGTCTAGGCTGGCCCTTGGGAAGATCTTCGCAGAAATTCTGCAACACAGTGGAAGACCCGCTCAGACTGTTTAGGTAGGGTTTAGGGTTTAGGTAGGGTTTAGGGTTTAGGTGGGGTTTTGGGGTTTGACTAGGGTTTATTAGGGTTTAGGGCCTATCTGCGCACCCTCACTGGGGCAACCCCATGCTTGAACCCTGAACCGCCCTGACTCGGCCTGTCTGTGAATGCTCATGTGCATCGCAGCCATCTCCAGAATTGGGTTTAGGGTTTAGGGTTTAGGGTTTGGCTCAAATCTTCACATTCATTCCGAATCCGGCAAAATTGACTTTTGAGCCCTGAAACACAAGCCGCGAACCTTAATGCCTATAAACCCCAAACCCAGCAAGCCAGCAGGCCCCAAAGCGCTCAATCCCAGTAAAGCTTACCCGAAACCCTTCTAAACCCTACACCCTGAACCCGAAACCCTAAACCGTTCTAAACCCTAAACCCTAAACCCTGAACCCTGAACCCTAAACCCTAAACCCTTTTAAACCCTAAACCCTCAACCCTTCTAAACCCTAAACCCTAGACCCTAAACCCTGAACCCTAGACCCTAAACCCTGAACCCTAAACCCTAAACCCTTCTAAACCCTAAACCAGCTGCCCTAAACTCTAAAGGCCCTCCAGAATTGAATTGAAAGCTTCTGCTTCTTCCCCTCCGCATGCTGCGAACACCATCCTCCGGAGGCAATGCAGCGAGGCAGCTTAGGGTGTAGGGTTTGGGGCTTAAGATCTTGAGGGTATAGGGCTTAGGGATTACAGGATTTAAGTTAAGGGGTTTAGGGTTTGGGGATTTAAGGGGGTTGAGGGTTTCAGGTTTAAGGGGCTTGAAGGTGTTTAGGATTTAGGATTGTGGGTGTAGGGTTTCGGGCCTTACATTTTAGGATTTGGGGGTCTCTAGGGCTCAGGTTAAGGGTTTACAGGCCAGGCTCCATGTCCTTCCACCTGAAGCCGCAAGCCCTATAAACCATAGACAGTAATGTAGGGGGTCTGAATTATTTGCAGTCCCTTCTAATCTAGTTCCGATAAAGGTATACTACAATATGTCCGCAACACCCATTCTGAGACATTAAGGGCCGGTTTTCCAAATTTGGGGGTCGCAGGGTTTCGGAATCAGGGTTCAGGGTTTAGGGCTTCAGAGTTTGTGGTTTCTCGGTCATCGCGGCAGGAGCACACGAGGACGCTGGGAAGAGGTCCTCCACTATGTGTCCTCGTCGCTCGCGAAAAGGTTGCGACTGCCCGAGCGGGCGCTCAACGATGCGGTGACTTGGATCGCTTCACTTCCTTGGAGACCAAATGCCCCTTAAAAATAGGGACCCACAACCCTTATACTACTGTATGAATCCCTATAGTTTGGTAATTGAAACTTACTTAAACCCTTTTGGAGTACATGTCGTCCGTAAGCTTGAGGACCCGAAGGCTGATCTTTTAGCCCTGAACTAGACCCTGCACTTGTAGGCTGACATTAAATCCCTGTCATGGGTTTAGGGTTTAGGGCTAAAGCGCAAGCGAACAGGTTGCTACTTCCAAGTGGAGCAGAGGACGGTTTTCCAAAAATCGGCCCCCATATGCCATTCTCACACGGCAGCTTAGGCAAGGGGCTTTGNNAAACCCTAAACCCTAAAACCCGAGACGCTAGCCTAAATCCCAAATCTCGAGGCCTCCGCCCGAGCCTTAAGCATCCTCAGAACCTAGTAAAGGGGCCTAAATAATTAAGTACCAACACTATTTTGGGGGCTTCGTTCTTATAATTATAGTATAATAGGAGCCCA